ACATTAATTGTATTAATGGTATGGTCACAACAGACAGATGTTGTGATAATTGTGTTTAGAGTTTTGAAAATGTGAATACAGAATGGACAAATGCTTGTTAGCAACAGAAAAAAACTGGAATACAATTAATGTCGTTTTCACACAAAATTTAGTCAATATAGAGGCAGAAAATGTCTGGACAAGGGAGAGGAATTAGACGTGGAGGAATAGTTGGACGAGGGAGAGGACAAGGTGATCTAAGGAGAGGAATAGTTGCAGCAGGACAAGGGAGAAGGAGAGATAGGGGGAGAGGAGTAAGAATGTGTGGAGGAGGTCAAAGGAGAGTAAGAGCTGTTGTCACTAATGAAATAAGAGCCACCATCATAGACCATGTAATAACCCAGGGTCTGTCACGGAGAGAGGCCGGTGAAAGAGTCCAGCCTAATCTCAGACGGTCAACTGTGGCTTCCATTATCTGAATTTTTCAACAAACCAACAGGTTAGTAATTCATTTCATGAGCGCCATACTTGCATTTGTAATGTACCACAGTAACTGCTGACTACCAACATCTACAAATACAAATATGTAACACATTTGTTCATTTACATATGTAAAGGACACAGTGACGTGCTTACTCTGGGGGAAGAAGAAAGCAGCTAAATGAAAACCAAGAGCAGGCCATTGTAAGATGGGTAATTGCTAACAATGCTATAAAACTCAGAGAAATTCAGGACAGAATTGTACAGGACAACCTGGTATTCCAGAATGTGGACAGCATCAGCCTGACTACCATTGCTCGAACTTTGAAGAAACACAGAATTGTAATGAAACAGCTGTACACAGTTCCCTTTGAAAGAAACAGCGAGCGGGTCATGGAACTCCGACAGCAGTATGTCCAGGTACCTACTATATCAAATCTAAGTGACTCATCCATACCCACATAGTGAAAAGCTTTTTACTCTAACTTGTGTTTTACGTATTTCTTTCAGAGAGTTATGGAGTTGGAGGCTAATCAGACACCACATGAATTTATTTATGTAGATGAGGTAGGATTTAACCTGGCCAAAACTCGTAGACGAGGAAGAAACGTAATTGGGAAAAGGGCCACCACTGATGTGCCAGGTCAGAGAGGAGCAAATATCACAATGTGCGCTGCAATCTCAAGTGCTGGTTTGGTCCTGCAGAAAAGCCAGATAGGTCCCTACAACACAGAGCGCCTTCTTTTGTTTTTAGATGACCTTCATCAACAACTGGTGCCAGAAGCAGAAAGGGAACAAGTGGGAGGAAACATGACAATATTTGTTATTGCATGGGACAACGTAGCATTCCACCATTCACAAGCAGTCACAAATTGGTTTGCAGCCCATCCGAGAATGATTTCACTTTTTCTTCCTCCATACTCTCCATTCCTTAACCCCATTGAAGAATTTTTGTCTGCGTGGAGGTGGAAAGTCTATGATCATCGACCACATGATCAAATGTCCCTTCTGGATGCAATGGAGGCTGGCTGCAGAGACATCTCAGCTAAAGATTGCCAGGAGTGGATAAGGCATTCTAAACGTTTCTTTCCAAGGTGCATAGCAAGAGACATTATAAGGTGTGATGTTGATGAGAACATATGGCCAAATGCTGATGGTGATTACTTTTTCACATTTTGACAGTCTGTGCACTATGACTGACTATATGTTCCTGTTGGATAGAAAACTAGTGCTAATGTTTTGATCAAACGACTCAATTATGAGTCAGGTTTGCTGTGTTTTGATAAAGTTAGTATATGTAGAAAATGGTATTTTGCATTGTGAAATGTAAAGTTTGTATTTATTTAACAAAATGTGGTTTTTGTCCGAAAATGAACCATTTGGCCAGGTGTGTGATGTAACTGTGTTGCTGTGTTAAGAGTTTAGAAGAAGTATTTTAAGTATTGGTTAATGCTTGTTAGCAACAGCAAAAAAACTGTAAAGGCCAAATTCTGTTTAGCTGTTTCAGTGTCCTGGCACCATACTGTACACGTTGGCTCATTTTAAAGCATGTTACTACTAACATCTGTGCTTATCTTAAGATGAGTCAAAATGTCAAATTACATCTACTCAAATTCAGCAAAACTGCAATTTCCTGAGTTTAGACAAGTTCGTAAAGTTTTATAAAAAGTAAACAAATGGAAAAATGTCCCAGATTTAATTAAGTGATTAAAAAAATATACTGGCAAAGGAACCATTTGCTGCTGCTGAGTCCCAAGGCACAGAACAATATTTGCATCGACACAAGCCCACAGTAGAGTAGATGTGTTTACCCATTAGTTGCTGTAACCTAAATTTAAAAGCCTATCCATGCTGCTTTTTTAACCACAGAGATCCTGTTGAGATTAAAACCTGTTTTGCAAGGGAGACCTGGCAGTGTTTAGCTAGATTATCCCTGTTAAACAAACTAAATAAATAAAGACACAGAGGTTTTCAGTTATTTTACCTTTTAGACCTCTCCTCAGGGCTGTGTGGGCGGGTACAGACTGTGATTGACCTCAGTCTGCTGTTGCACCTGTTAGGCAGGATAAATTTACTCGTTCAACCTGAGCAGAGGACAAGTCAGAATAATTCAAAATAGTTGTACGGAGTATATATTAACAGCATTTTGAACAGTCCTCATACAGAGACTACAAATAGCAATGATATGCCTCTACTCATGATTAATGTCTGTCAGTCCTGGATTGGCTTATTCGTCTGTGCCAGAGAATGTCTGTTCAAAAATGATTAAAAACACATCAGTGAAACACACCACTGCATTTACAGTAGTGAAATGTTTCCTAATAAGAAAACACAAGACCCCATGATGTGTTAAGAACATTTAGAGATCCAGATACATGCACAGCTGACTCTGGCTTAGCTCAGGTGCTGTAAAACGTTATGCCTATTTGGAGCCTTTGGTGCAACATTTTTTGGAAAAGTATTAGGTTCTGGTGTTTTGAGGAAAGATGCCAGTGCAGCAGTATGTAGAGGCAAATCATTGTTGGTTTTAGTCTCTGTATGGGGCGTGTTGAGTGTGAAAATGCAGCATTTTGTGAGAAAAGTCACTCTGGAGCCTTTATTCTTTTATGCTCTTATGCACAGAAGAACAAAAACTATATGTATAGTATATATAAATTATTGCCAGGTAAAACAGAGAACTGTTTTAGCACTGCAGCCACATTCCCAGAGGAAAGAGTCATGTATGCCAAACAATAATAAGCAGTAGATAAATCTGGCATAAAGGAAAATAAGTGTAAAAAGTGTTTTCATCAAAGAGCCTTGGACCAACTCCAACCTCATCAGAGGGGCAAATTTATTTCAGTCAGAATTGCATTGGCTTTAATTTCACGCTGCACGCATTTCAATACCAGCAAGAGGGTGGAAAAAGAGAGAGACAGGGAGAAAAACACAAGGAGGAGGAGATAGAAAATATGAAGTTTAATTTTCTGCCAAAAGTCACCATACCAAAGAGAATTGAGGCTGATACATTAACAAACAAAGGAGGAAGAGAGGGAAAATCAGATAAGGGGAAATGGTTTATATCAAGGTTATGTAAATTCAATAGAGGTAAATGGAATTCAGTTTTAGAAAGAATTTGTTCGGCATTTGATGTTTGTGTTTAGTTTAATCATAAAGAATGCTGTGGTGTTTTAAAATTCACTCTATTTCGAGAGCAGAGCCAAAGAAAGGTTATGAACACAGGGGAATAGCTGCATCAGTGCTGCTGCTGTTGTGAAGGCTCCTTGTGTCAGTATACTGAAAATGAAATGTTTACCTCCAAGTTTTTTATAGCCCACTGAACAAATTCTGATGGTTGAGGGGTTTTATTAGATCTCATGATGGGTGGAATTCCTCAGCTAATAGCCCTGAAGATACGTGTCTTGGTCAACAAGTCCTCCAACCTACTCAGCCCATATGGTCATGTCTCTTCCCTCTCATATAACTAATAGTGCTATGACAGTAAGGGGCAGAATTGCAATAACTTCTGCAACATTAATGACAACATAGGTCACACTACCAGGTTTTACCATTTGTCGTCATAGAAACAGCCATAAGCACAACAGCTAGTGGATATCTGTTGTCTTGAAAACTGTGATAAATATGCTGTCACAATGAAATTCACAGTTTCATTACATTTTGCCCACTGATGATGGACACGGCGTCATCACTTCCCTCCGCTCCACATAGCTGCCATCTCGCTTTTTTACAACCAGATTCTGCGCAGTAGTGACCACAAGTGGATTGACAGGATCAGATCACCAATCAAAGCTGTCAAATCATTCAAAATATACCTTTTTTAGATCATTAAATAACTTATTAAAGATTAACTTATCACTAAAATGACCACTTGTACACACATCTGTGTAATAATATCTACCAGAAAACACAGAAGTGACCTCTGGGAAAAAAATGATCTGGTCTGTACTTTGAATTTTTAGTTTGGCTCATGTCCCATCCGCTAACATGGAAGTGGTGGGTTTTATGACCTATGCTGCAACTGGCCACCAGGGGGCAATTGCTTCACGTCTGGGAGCTCTCATGGCACCCATATTTTATACAGTCAATGGTTTTACCACACAAACTACTTGGTTAGGTTTAGGAAAAATACTTAGGAACAAAAACAATACTGATATGTTAAGGAACAAAACCTAGTAGCCACACACCAGCATTTAGTCCTGCTTGCCTGGCTGAAAGCCCTGAGTTTTGGGTACCTAGCCTTCCACCCCAGTCTGCTCCTAACAACCACTTTGTGTCTATATATACTACATCATTTTATTGTCATAATTACTATGGTTGGTATAACAAATTGTAATTCATAATAACCTGCTGACACAAACCACATTTAAAGCAGTTTTTTACAGGAGGACAGTTTCCTCCTGGTGCCTTAGGTTTGGCTTCTTTCTTCATACTGAGACCTAAGTAAAACCCTGCATCTGTGGATTGTGCAACTGGGTGTGTTGGAGAACACGTTCTGTTTGAACACAGTCTTGCTTTAGTTTTGAGAACCTTGGTGTGAAGGAAAATACATTTTTATGCATAAAGTGAATTGTGTGGAGCCAGTCATCTGTTTTACTTCAGTGCTGAAAGTTGACTGTTTTGGATGTAGGCTATATTGTCCTTTTGACAGCGGCTTTGTGCTTCTGGATCAGGCTGTTTATCAGGGGGCTGAACTGTTGATACATTCTGTAATGTAATCATTTACCACCTCAGCTTACACACATACTGTAGAGGTTCAGGGCTTGTTTGAGAACTATTATGATGGATGAGGTAGAAGGGGGCATATATAGTATGCAAGGTGTGAAAGTCTTTATGAAATAAAAACACAATTATTATTTTGGCAAATATTTTCTCCGAGTGGAAACTACTAAATACATAAGCAGGGTCTTGCAAGCTCATCTAACTGCTCTTTCTGAACATCCCTAAAATCCATAGTTAGTCATCAGGGAACTCTTGGTAATTTGTCAAAAAAAACCCATCCCTTTTCAAACCACTAGCCACGTACAAGCTACTTTACAAACTAAATTCCTCCCCGCAATAGCAGAAACCTAAGCCAGTACTCTCCCCATCTCTGTCAGAAGGCTCTCTGCATTCAGCAGCTTCTTTTCTGCTTGACTCTACCTGCCAAGAGCTGCTTCTATTTATGGAGCTGAGAAACTGCGACAGGGACCTTATGATACAGCATGCATGAAAATACAACGCAGGTTATCGAACAAGGATGTCTGTATGCGATTAATGGACTGATGCAACTGAGGTGTAATTAGGGACAAAATCATCTGGAGAAATTCAAAGAAAATATAACAGTAGCTTTATGAAAGGTGCTACATCAAAAATGTCTTCTTCACCTCATCTGTTTTTAAGCTTTTAAAAAATGTTAAAGGTGATGACTGTAGAGGAAGCCTTCCGTGGTAATGGCTGAGTCACCACTCTGCTGCTCCTTGTTGGAGATGCATGTACTAGACAGGGAGCTGCAGAGGGCATTGCCACACACACACACACACACACACACACACACACACACAAATACAAACTAAGCAAGGCTAAATGTAGCAGTATCCTGTTTATTCCCTATAGAATTGAATGATTAAAGGACAAGGACCTGCCTCCAGACAAGATGGTGGATTATATTTAAACATTCAGTAAAATTCAACAGTTTTCACATATTTATAAAGCTAGATTTTCAGTTAGGGAGAAGAAGTAGGTGAAATTATTATTACGGTTATTTAAAGCAGAGTATGTTTTGAACTTTAATGATTATATGAAATCAAACTGATGATATTTGAATCTTTTTTTATATATTAAATATACCTTTATAGATAGCAGTTACTTTTCGGAAATTATGCAATGATATAAAAGGTAGCGCAAAAGCAGCAAAGATACTTTATTAGTCTCTTAATTTTGCAGCTACAGTTCACTCTATAGATCCAGTACCATCTGGGCCTGAGCCACCATCACACTGTCAGTTTGGCTTACACAGCAGAACAAGCAAACAGACACTGCAGACACACACTCGCTCTCTTTCTTGGGTATCCGCCTTGACTCACAGCGGAAATTGTGACCATCAGAACATAATGTGCACATTTTAAAATTTAATTCATACTGCAAACTGTGTGATGACATGGAGACAATGATGGATGACTTTATACAGTAAACCAAGTCCA